ATTTATTTTTTCTCAAGAAGACACACTAGGGCTTATTTTCAGGGGATGTCTTATTTTTATTAGACAACAATCTACATTTATTCAAATACAGTTAAGTCATCTTCTTCTGGAACCTGACAGGGGGAGCCGACCTTGTTGGTGGGGCTGGCGCTAGCGATGCATGAACTCCTTTCCCCTAGCTGTTCGCATGTGTGCAATAGGATGCCTGCAATAGTAGTTACCACATGCACATCTGTGCAAGTGCGAACGGCTCGGAGAAAGGAGCTGTGACAGATAAAAGGTGTTCCAGTCTTCCTTACTGCTCCGCGCTAAAATGCATGTGTGACTATGCAGATACACTGCATACCACACACATCACTAGGTCTTATTATCAGGGTAGGGCTTATATTTAACAAATGCATAGAAATCCTGCTAGGGCTTATTTTTTGGGGAGGTCTTATTTTTGGGGAAACACAGTATTAGTTTTTGTGTATGGCAGGGTAGCCTTGGAAGTAAGAACCTGGGGTAAGAATCTCTGAGTTCATATCTCGGCCTTATGGTACAACTTGAGTGATCCAGGACAACACAGCCAACCTTTCTGAGTTTCTTTTTTTTTCACCTGTAAAATGGGGATGTTGGTGAAGTCTGCTACACATGGCGGTTGCAAGTATTCAGGGGCCCTGAGGATCAGAGTAAGAGTTATAACAAGACTAGTTTAGAGCATTCATGGTGTTGGTCTCCCAATCACAGCTTCGGTCAAACCCAGTCTGAAAGTCATCGTAACTTTGAAAACCACTCAAACTCCTTCTGTGCAATTTTATAGAAGATCTGAAACTATTTAGCCACACCAGGCAGGCAGTATGTGAGAAGCAGCAGCTCTGACTGCCTTTATATCCTGTGACAAACGGCCTCTCATCGCCACATGACACATTCTCCCCTCACTGATCCGTCCACCTCTCCTCTCATCACCTGAATCGCAGTCTTCATAATAGTATTGGAATTCAGATGGATTTTGCACCACAAATGAAAGTGAATTTCAATGCCTCTGTTCCCCAGTAGAAGCACAGGTACTGTAAATGTCAAATGCGTGCGGTCTGGCCAGGCCACACAGCCGCTCCCAGTGATGGCTTACCTCCCGTCACCTCCGCTGAAGGTGCATTAGCTCCGTGGAACCCACCTGTGAGAGGAAATGCTCTGTGCTCTTGCTTTCCTTTTAAGGGAGCAAATCTCCACCAGCCCCTTAAGATCTCCCTGGGACACCGTCTGAAAGATTTTAAGGAACAGCTAGGAACCCATCTGAGCCCGGGAACATATGCAGTGGCTCTGCCAATTGGTAGGCTTGGAAGAAAACAAGAAACATACAGCCACACTCTGGTACACACACTACAAATTCCCCCACAAACACCCAGGCAAGGTTTTCCAAATGACAATGAACTTTCTGTTGGCCTGACAGAAAAAAGGCTTCCATTTCCTAGCTGCAGGAGAACAAATCACCTGACCCCAATGAGAACAGCCCACATCACAAAGTCCCAAAGCTGCAGATGCTGGTGTGGATGTAGAGAGAAGGGAGCACTGTTACACTGCGGGAGGGCAGCAGACTAATACAGCCTCTGGGGGAAAAAGTACGGAGAATCATCCGAAAGCTAAAAGTAGACCTTCCACTGGATCCCACAATCCCATTATTCAGAGTCTTCCCAAAAGAAATAAAATCATCATTTTATCAAAAGAACATTTGCACTAGAATTTTTACTGCAGCTCAATTCACAATCGCCAAGACATGGAAGGAACCCAAGTGCCCATCAACCCAGGAATGGATTAATAAGCCATGGTATATGTAGACCACGGAATACTATTCAGCATAAAAAAAAGATGGAGACTTCACATCTTTTGTATTAACCTGGATGGAGCTGAAACACATTCTTCTTAGTGAAGTATCACAAAAATGTAAAAGCAGTATCCAATGTACTAAATATTAATAGTAAAGCACCAGATAAACTGCACACCCACACCAGAGAAAACACAAGTCTGTTCAAGGGGAGGAGGAGGAAGGAGGGATGGAGGGAGGATGGAGGGAGGAAGGGCCCACCTAATGTGTACAATGTAAAGGTATACAGCACAGCCCCTGGGCCAAGGGCTCAACTACAACTTGAACTTGACCTTGGAAATGAAAATAATGTAACCTAATCATATATACCCTCTTATTAATCTGAAATTAAAAAAAAAATAGATCTTCTAGGATTAAAAAAAATAGGAAAAAAAAAACAGGACAGAAAAAATAAAAAATCATGTCCTTCTGTGAATAGTCTCAGAGCCCAGACTGTGAGCAGACCAAGAAGAATGATCTTAGGCCTCTTCATTAAGATGAGGGCTCTTTTCAGCTCTTGAAATTCACTGTTTATCTTCCAACATTCCATCTGGCTTAGGATTCAAGGGGAAATAACTCACCTCAAGGTAAAGGGCCCTACCGAACAGTTCTGATGGATTCTATAGAAAACTTGAGATTTTGTGTGTTCTAAAAGTCTTATATCGAGAACATAATTGACAATACCCAAGGGTATAGTGGGAAGTACACAAATATGTCTACATATGCAGAATATAAGGAAGTAAGGGAAGGTGAAAAAAAAAGAGTGAATTTTATTCTTAGGAAGCCATCCAGTCCTACAGGGGTCCTGTTAAGCTCTCTGAACTAAAGAAAACTGAGCTTTAAAGAAAACACTGCCAGTTCTCCTCTGGAGCACTCAGCAGTCGTAAAAGTCCACACAAGCCAAGGGGCTGCCGCTTCAGAGACAGGTTTACTTATTACTTTGGCACCTCTGCCATCTCTTGTCACTTCAATTCCACTTTATCAAATTACTGATTTTGCCAGAAGCACTTGGATTAAACGGAGAGGGACACACACACACAGAGGAGCACGTGTCGCCACTTCAGCAGTGAAATTTCATAATCGTACGTCAGAGTGACAGGACTAGAGTGTCTTCTTGGAACTGGAAGGCCATACCTCCAGCGGGGACGTGGGACTCTCCAGGATGACTAGGGTCTGCATCTTGAATTTCCATTGAGAAAGAACTCCCGTCTGTAGAGTTCCACCTCCCAAAGCCTTGCTCCAACTTCTAACACATAGAGAGACTCCGGGAAGCTAAAGCCTTTGTACAGAATTCACTACATTGCTAAGAGTTTTTTATTTTTTTTAAGAAACAAAAAGGTTCCATTGTTTAACAGAGACAGAATAGAAAGTAAGACTGAGAATTTGCAATAGGCATTTTTTTTTTAAATCATGAGGAGTCGTCCCCAGTTAACTGCAGCCAACTATTTGGTAGTTTTTCTATCAGTCATATGAAGACGTCAAATGGAGAAAATAAGTGGAGAATGTTCTGGAAAGGAGGCTTCCTTGGGAGCAAATGACTCAACCCAACAATATCTGGAAAAGCAGAGAAACATCCGTGTGTGTGCACATGTGTGTGTGTGTGGGCAGTGCCCTCGTTAAAGAAGCACTGAAACCATGTACAGAATGAACACAAATGACTTCTCTGCCCCAGTAAGCCTCCCAGAGCAGGTGCGGACCTGGGCAATCATCATATCTCCACGATGTATAAACCAAAGGGGGTCTGAGGAGGTAGACCAGGGGCTGCCCAGAGCTCACCCTGGCAGTGCACTGACCTTGCTGGTGATGGAGCCTTGTCAGAGGATCAGTTCCTATGGCAAAGAGGTTTTATTTTAACATGACACTGGACACAAATATGCCTGTGAAGTCCACAAAAGTCCACGGGTAGTGGAAATATCCTGAACTCTGGAGACAGGCCAGGGAGCATGCTTCCTGAGTATCGGGCAGGGCAGAACATTACTGGGAATTTGGACACGTGTTCGGCCTAAGCAGCATTTGTGCAACTCACAAAACACATGGGCACATATACCAGCACCCAAGCATGGGGCAGGCATGAACGTGAATTGAAGCATCTTTTCTGCAAACTTGAGCAACACACAATTCTAAGCCAGGATCCTGCAGTTTGAATTTTAGCTGCCATATCATTATCGCTTCCAGTGCAAGGAGGTTAACACCCTACAAAATCGTGCGTGGCGATTGCTTTTTATTTAAAAGCAAAACTTTTGTTCTGAAAAGTCCTCAATTGCCTTACTCATCAGCAGACACACCTGAGCCACCATGAAATCACAGCTGAAATCCTCTGCTTTAAATAATAAGCCCATGTGACAAGAATAGTGTAGCTGAAATGAGGGAACATCTTTCAAAACTGTGGGATGACGCCCAAAGCAGCCAGGAGGGGTACACTCTCCATCCACTTGTTTGACCTCTTTGGATCCGAGGGGTCAAGAGTAAAATGTGATCTGCAGGGATACGTGTTGCCACAGAAACTTCTGTGAGCTCTTGTCAATAAAGAGATGCTATGAACATATTTGAGGACTGTTTATGAGCTGCTTGTCCTGAGGGGCTCAACACCACGTGTAACAAAGAAGATAAACTGCAGGAGGGTGAACTCTAAATATGTAAGAAGTGACCTTGCCCCTTAATCTCAAATGGGTTGCTGCTGTTCATATAAATGTGTCATGATGGAAATTGAGGCTCTTTTGCACACCCGAGTGCATTGATCAGATATATAGGAACACACCCTGGGAAGCCAGTATTATGTACTCTCCAATATACATATATATTATATAATGACGTATGATACATACATCACAACCAACAACAATATTCCACTAAAATGTGACATGAGTTAAAGGATAAATGAGTCATTGTCCTTAACAGAAGGATATGACTACAACAAAACTCAGCACCAAATTTTTTGCAAACTTAACCATGCTTTATTAAAGCCATCAGATATGACACAGATTGCCAGGGAGGAGAAATGGCAGACGTTTTTAAGTACGATCGTCTTCAAATATCAAATAGCCCGTGAATCACCTGCAAACCATCACCCAAGGAGGCATGTCTTAAACACCTGGGTCGAAATCACACAGAGTTCTTGTTTCCTTTGAAACCCCAGAGACGAAAAATATTGACTCACCTTTCTGTCTTCTATTTCCACGCAGGTATTGCAGTCGGCTTTGATGTCCTGAGAGGAGGAGAAAGAAAGTGAGAGAAAGAAGAGGAGTTAGATGTGTGGTCAGAGAACATTCAGTGGTGTCAGTGAAATGCCCTTTAAAATAATAAGGCCACTAACAGTTCTTTCTCGAGTCATTGCTCTTTATTGCGCTTATTGGGGTGTATTCTGCGATGTTTGCATTCGAGACATATGGGTGTTATAAGCGAGCTTTATTACATGAAGGCGTGGGGGGAAGGCTGGGCATCCGAAGCCACAACAAAGAGAAGCTGAGGGTTCATAAAATCACCCACCCTGATACCTCTGCTCATACCTCTGCTCAGAGACTGCCTTTCATTGGACTAATGTCTCCCCATTCCAAACTTAGCACAGTCAGATGGGCCTTGTTTTAACACAAAAGAATCATCACCTATTTTTTACCCTTCCATCCATTCATCCATCCAATCATTC